TCATTTCTCTCCATCTCCCCTTGTCTCCCCACCTCTCTCCCTCTCTGCTCTCTCTCTCTATCTCCCTTCTTCCCCCATCCCCCCTCTCTCTCTCTTTGCTCTCCCCTCCCCCCCTCTCTCTCTCTCTCTCTCTCTCTCGCTCTCTCCTCTCTCTCTCTCTCTCTCTCTCTGTATCTCCAACAAAAATTTCCCCACGCAACCATGTATACATGTACATCTAATACGAATTACAGGCACTAGTTGCACTCAAAAATGTGTTGTACAGTTATTGTCTGATACGCCCTACAGTACTAGACACAAATCAACCGTCCTGAAGGCGCAGAATTAGGTCCATCGTTTAGAGTAGAGAAAAGCGGAAAATGGAGGAGTCGGCATGGTATGGGAAGGGTTTGACGGTCCGTTCAGCACTTTTCGGACGTCTAAGAAGATAAAACTCCGACGTAACATCCATTTCTGAAAGAGGACGCAAAGCCACCATCGGCTCCCCATACAAAGCAAATTTAAAACCACTCCTTTCAGGATTCAAACACGTTCCATCTCCATCATACGAGAGCTGTTCCAGAAATAACAGAAACACGGCCGTAATGGGAACAGCTACCTATCATTTGTCATTTTGTAAAAACTTTTAGAAGTTCAAGGAATACTTAATTTGGGAGCACCATTAAAATAAACAAAATGAATGCATCCATTTTACTACATAACAATATAGATGGCAACCACTATATACATAAGATTTAGTGAGAAGAAGAGATTAGTTCGGTTGCTGTTGTTTTTTCACGTAAAAGGAAATAATCCAACTTAAATTCAGGCCGAACTTGAAAGTCTTTATGGTGAGAAATCCAAAGTTCTACCATTTATTTGAATTTATTTTAGAAGGGACATAACAATCTGAGATTAGAGACTGTTGATTCGAGTAACTCGGTCTTTCTTCTGAGATGGTGTGTCCCTCTCAGCCCAGGTTGGCCCTGAGAGGTCTGGTCAAAGCACCCCAACTCCTAAATAGTCTTAATTGTGTCGATTGGAGCATAAAAACGCTTACATTAATTAATATAAAAAGTGGGAGGTTGGCGGGTGCTCGAGTATGGTTTGCTCTTCTTTCCTATCAAACATCTTTCGTCCTTATCTCTCTTCCTCCTTTTTTGTATGTGTTGCCCTCTTGTAACACCTCTAATCTTCAGCACCTATATATCACCTGAATGTGTTACAAGTGCTGTAAAACTCTAATAACTAAAACGAAAGTAATTTTTATAAAATACCCCTAGCCAAAGAGGTTGTAATATTAGAGCTCGGGGCAGTGACGTCACACGCGTCAGACATGGGGGCCTTCCACCCTCATAGTCATCAGCATGGCCGGCGCGCTCCCATGTACATGAACAATCTGAGTCCTCATCCTGCTCCCCACGAGCTCTAGTATATTAAACACCATCCTGCCCCCGTATTTCAGTGCAAGCGGGCAGATTTTCTCCTTTGACCGCCGAGACGCCTCCACGTGAGTCTCGGAAAGTAGTCACTCGCCTGTTGAACTGCGCGTGTTTTTCCCTTGAGTTTCAGCGTCCAAGAGTGGGCACACGCAACCCCCCCCCCGCTCCCCACGAGCTCTAGTATATTAAACACCACCCTGCCCCCAAGCTTGTAGATTTCCTCCTAAGGCCGCCAAGACGCCTCTACGTGAGTCTCGGAAAGCACTCAGTCACTCGCCTGTTGAACTGCGCTTGTCTTGCGTGTTCAGCATCCCAGAGTGGGCACACACAACCCCCCCCCGTTCGTTTACATGGATGACGTCACTGCCTCGAACTCCAATACTGAATATAACCTCTTTGAACCTCTCGCCCTCTCGTATGCCATTATTTTAGGTTCTCTTGGTGGACGGCAAGCAGCGACAGGTATTATTTAATTATCTATTTCCTGCTGGGAAAGAGCTATTATAGCCTCAGAAACAACCAGGCTGCAAAGTAGTGCTGGGC